GAACAGTCCTACGAAAGCGAAGACGCCAAGTCCAAGGGGGGTCGGTTTCAATGTCCCCCGTAGGACAAATACCACGCCCGTACAGGGCACGTCAACAGAGCTGCCGCCTCGAAGTCGTGGCAATTCAAGTAGCACTGCCAATAGCAGGCCTGATTGGATCTAAGGTCTATCGGACAAGCGAGCACTATATCGCCCGCTTTTGAGGTTATAGACAAAAGGATAAATCGACATGTACTATTAGAACCCGTGTTTCTTACCCAAGAAACTTTCACCCCCTCGTTAACTTTCCTTCAACGTTATCCTTTCTTTATAGAGGCATGATGAACTCCATCGTTCTCTCATACCCCTTTTTCCCTTTGATTCGATTCTTCTACTGAAAGGCGTTGTGGTTGGTACGATACCGAAACAGACACTAGGCCAATATGCTAGTTCTGATTCTACAGCAGGATAAGGATTGGTGGGTCAAATATCATGCATATGCAGGCGTCCATCAGAAAGACGGGAGTCGCCTCCTATCTTTTTATTCATTCTCGGGTGGTTTCGCGATGGCACGGCCAGCGCCTGTAGTCACTATCCTGTGTGAACTAGTAGGGAATACTGTACAATGTTGGGAGAGGGTGTTGCATTTCCCAATGACTGGATGACAAATCAAGATCATGACGGCGGCGGAATACCACGGGATAAGGGCCTTAAAAAGGTCCTGCGGTATAGACGGTAATGGCTGCCGTAGATGATTTAGCTAGAAAGACGCGAATGTCCTAGATTTTCTACACCTCTATAACTTCATTTGGCCCGATATATCCTCGTGATTTGTTCTGTGACGTTATCGAACATCCTCCTGGGCTGACCTAGAAACGTAGCCGAGGCAGGGGACTTCACTCTCAAATCAAATCATTAGTTCTATTAATGATCCTAGTAACATTGATACGTAATCAAGCCGCCGTCCATTTCGGCTGTTTTATAAACGAGTTCCAGTACCTACGCCGTTGGTACAGGACCATGACACGTACCGTGAAAATATATGGTCGGATATGGAAATGGAAACGAGTGAAATTCCCGTTCAGCCGCTACCAATTGAGAGATGGCATATACTTGATCCATAAACCCAAGGACTCCGCCACGTATGAGAGATACTAAAAAATAGGGGTGTTATGAACATTATATACGCTGTTATTGACAAGATAATAGTTATTTTCTCTAAGCCGGAGGATCCGTTAAAGGGGATATTCTTCTTCTTCATGACGGGTCTCCGCTGGACAAGGGGTTGGGGATTATGCTAATGATTTGCAATGATTTATCGCAATAACTCTATATAAGAGCTCATCCTAAATGGCTATATGTATAGAGTTATACCTATAAGATAGTAAGGTCACAATGCGGAAGATACCGGTTTTTTATTACCTCTTATCATATCCCTGCCTTTAACGGACTTCGGATGAGAAGCATCAAAATCCTCCTATCAACTTACGAATCAGACGAATATCATCTCTTATTCATCTAGAGTGCCCATAATGCCCTGAAGTTATTCAGCATGGATGACATTGGTTCCAAGAGAAATTGGGACACACACAATGCCCGTACGGATATTGGCCGTTTAGCACCCTGTACAACCAACTGAATGTAAGATTTTACGCTTTAACTGGTATTTACCGATCGGGCAGTGTCAGAAAGGTGATACTCCCGAAGCCAGTCATACGAGGCCCACATCTCCTTAAACAAGGGGCGGATACACTCTTGGTCACGATAGCATATTTATGTATGTACACGGTATTTATGGCTGCACATTCCCACAGATTCATAGGGCCTAAGATATCCCCGAAGGCCTAAGCTTCAAAAGAAGCTTGTGGGGGAGCAGGATTAACTGGATGGTAGGTACTTTAGGGGTTTGATATGATGCCTCTGTAGCGGATATGAGTACAGCAACAATAATTATTTAACTTGATGGCAACTTATAGGTTATACTAGGCCGCTATTCTATCGCCTGCACAAGTAAATTTAAATAATATAATTCGTAATCACCTAGGGGTATGGAAAATATTCTGAGCGAGAACATCATCATAAGGCGGCCTTTACCTCCTGAATTTTTTAATCTGGTCAGTTATAACTTATACTGACACTTAATGTTTAAATTTTAAGATTAATAAGCAGGTAAATGCTTGAGAAAATAAATATATTTTACATCATATTTGTATTATTTATTTCATTTTTCTGATCTCATATCTAACACAAATTTGATCTTGTCGGAGTTAGACTTCTAGGTACGCCCACAGGCAGTTACTTAAGGTACATACACCTAACCTACGGGCACCTAATACCTAAAGGGAAGCTGTGTCAGCCACAATGTGGCGGGAGCTTAGACCAATGTATTGTACGTACCCTCAATTTTTTGAGCTCTTTAGAATCAGTGACGTCTCAACTTCACTCTCACTTAGCACCAACCAAAACTTATAGAGGTGGGAATTAAAGGAGAGGGCTAGGATGAGAGCATGAGGTAGATATCTTTTCTTCAAAAAAGTCGCCCCTATGAGGTTCGCGGATATTATTATCGACTTGGCCGCTGTCGTCCAAGCGTCTCGGTCTGTTGCATCAAGACATATAGAGCTCCGAGCTCGACAGATCGACCGCTATGGCCGGACCTCAAGTATTTTGCGGTCTTTGAGAGAGAAGAAGTCGGGCACTTATCCTATCCATCCGGAAGCATCAAGCGTTGCTGATGCTTCGGTTAGTGGTGATAAAGAGCCAACCCGTGATGCAATTGCTCAGTCCGACTTAACTACAACTCAAGCCAGAAGTATAGAACCTAATGCGAGGGATCCTCCGTTAAGGAATATACAAAAGGATGCTGAGGATATTAGAGCCTCACCCTTAGACCAGCAAGACGTCTATAGGAACCTTTCTCGACATAGTTCACCAAGTGACGTGGCATCCAACCAGCACTCCTCAGTGGTGCGGCCGGATCAAAGTGCAATCCTAGCCCAACTGAGGAAAAATGCCGAGGAAGCTGAAAAAAACATCCAGGTCGAATTAAGTCGCACTTCTCGGCCCCATTTGGCAAAATCGGGCGCCGCTTCGAGCTCCGCAGTTGGAGAAGATGTTCCTCCAGATGTGGATGTAAACGTATTTCACACGAATCGAGGCTCACAAATATTAGAGGGACGAAAAGATATGCTACGTGCAAATCGGCCTAATATTGCGGCTCCATCTCCTGGGTGGTTTAAGGATTACGGTCACGGACGGGTGAAACCCCACAAAGAGGAGACTCAGGCATCGCCTCCTATTGCTGAAATTTCAGCAACACCAGGGGACCCGGCGGCGAATGAGAAGGCGACACATACGGAAGTCAATACTGATACCCTATTTGCTAGAAAGGAACCTATAAGCCAGGAGGCTGAGAAGGAACACACTCAGATGGTTGATGAAATTTTGTCCAGAGCAGAAATAGAGACAACACCGGACGCAACAGCTGAAACCGAAGCCATGTTCAATGACGGGTCGACAAGACCGGCCTATGTTCTCCGGGAATCCAAGGTACCGTCCACTCGCCTGGGCCGATTATGGAACTACGGGGGGTTAGCCGCCGGAATGCTAGGCGGTGCCATCACCGAGGGGCTTAGCAGAAGCCTCGGCGGCGGCGGCAAGGGCTCGGTGTTACTCAGCTCTGGGAACATGGAGCGGCTCGTTGCTAAGCTATCCCGGATGCGAGGCGCTGCGCTGAAGATGGGCCAGCTGATGAGTTTTCAGGACTCCAAGATGCTCCCCGCCCCCATTCAGGAGGTCCTCCAAAGAGTCCAGGATCGAGCCGATTACATGCCCGCGTGGCAGCGTGACCGCGTGCTCACGACCAGCCTCGGACCCGAATGGCGGGAGCTATTTGACGATTTCGAAGACAAACCGATAGCAGCGGCGTCGATTGGCCAAGTGCACCGTGCAACGCTTAAATCTACGGGCGAAAAGGTGGCTGTTAAGATCCAATTCCCAGGTGTTGCCGACTCAATCAACTCCGACTTGGACAATATATCTATGCTTCTAACCGCCTCTAAGATGCTACCTAAAGGGCTATATCTTAACAAGACGATCGACAACGCACGAATAGAGCTAGGTTGGGAGTGTGACTACGAGCGGGAGGCACAGTGTGGGCAGCGGTATCGGGAGCTTCTGGCTGACGAGCCGGACGTCTTCGTCGTGCCCAAGATCTACGCAGAGGCCTCGGGGAAACACGTTCTAACGATGGAGTTTATGGAAGGAGTAGGTGTGACCCGGAATAAGTCCTTCACGCAGGAGCAAAAGGACTGGATTGGCACACAGATCCTGCGGCTTTGCTTGCGCGAGATCACCGAGTTCCGCTTCATGCAGACGGACCCTAACTGGACCAACTTCTTATACAACGCCGATACCCGGAAACTTGAGCTCCTCGACTTCGGTGCTTCGCGGGAATTCCCAGAGCACTTCGTCACTCAGTATGTCGGTCTGCTCGCTGCCGCCGCACGTTCCGACCGCCGCACCGTCCTCGAGCTATCCCGCAGCCTAGGATATCTTACAGGCCACGAGAGCAAAACCATGCTCGACGCACACGTGACCTCGATCCTGACACTGGCCGAGCCGTTCCTAGACTCTGCGCCCCAGGTGTACGACTTCAGCGACCAGACCATCACCGAGCGCGTTAAGGCGCTCATTCCCACCATGATCCGCGAGCGTCTGAGTCCTCCACCCGAGGAAACATACAGTCTGCACCGCAAACTAAGCGGTGCCTTCCTGCTCTGCGCTAAGCTGGGCGCCCGCGTAAGGTGCCGCGAACTGTTCGAACAAGCGATAAAGAAGATGGATGTAGATGCTGTTGTACGATAGCGGATATAAATGTATCGATCGGATAATACCCACCACTCGCCTCTGTATAAACAATCTAGGTTACCTACCTAAAGTGATAGGTATTTCGCATGAAATGGGGACAACGGAGCATTACGGGGGTAGATAGAATTGTGGGAAAATGGTATCATTTTGTTTGTAGTCATAATAACTACCATAGACCGCAGGTCGCGGGCTACGTATGTATATGTTATATGCCAGACCAGACCCTCCTACTCGTAACATCAAATCCCCTTTCATCATCATCATCACCACCACCATCGCCTAATATATCCATCCATCCATCCACCCGTCATGACCTCTCCCGCCTCTCCATCGGCATATCCCTCCTCTCCTTCGAAGCCAACTTCTTCCTACGCCGCTCAATCACCCGATCAACCTGCTTGCCCTTCAGGCCCGCAAACCGGTCGACGAGCAACTGCTTCTTCTGCTCGCTGCGCTTGAGGTAGAAGGGCTTCTTGCCCTGCTTCACGAGCTCCTTCTCCCGCCGCCGGTGCTCCTCGAGCAGCTTGCGCTCCGCCTCGCGCGCCTGCTGCGCCTTCTTCTTGCCCTCCATCGAGGCCAGCGCGCGCTTGAGCTCCTCCTTGGCGGCCGCGTCTTTGGTCTTCTTGGCGGCGGCGCGCAGCTGGGCTATCTCCGAGTCGCGGTATTCGTCGAGGAAGCTGTACGCGCGGTGCAGCCGCTCTTCATCTACGGGCCGGCCTTGGACCGCGGCGGAGAACCGTGGGTCGCGTGCTACGGGCTTGTGCGTTGCGATGACTTCTCGCCGGCGGGTGACTTGGCGTTTGCTGGATTGTTCGGTGGGGGCGTGCTTGTTCGTGCGGTGTGGCACGGACGGTTTTCCTTTGGACTCAGATCGTGAGTCTTTGTGTCGCTTGTTGTTGTCGTTGTCTTCGTTATCTTCGTCCTCTTCCTCTTCTTGGCCTTTGCGCCCTTTCCCTCGTCGCATACCGGGGAGAGATGCTTGAGCTTTAGCTAAGGCGCCGAATGAGATCTGTGAGGCGGCTGCTGATGGGTCTTCTACTTCGTCTTCGTCTTCCTCAGATGAGGAACCTGACTATAAGATTTATTAGAAGTTTGCTCATCGGTTTCCATTCACAAGTTTGTTTTTTTTGTACCTCATCGTCATCCTCTTCCTCATCGCTCTGTGCTTCGGAACCCTCATCCTCACTGCTCTCATCTCCTTGGGATTGGTCGCTGGGGATCTCTTCTGGTTCATCTCTTCTCGCCCTTACACGACGTTGTAGGCTTACGAGTGGCGCCTTGCGCTTAGAAGCTGATATTCGTTCCATTTTGGTTGGGAAGTTTATTTGGATCTGTCAAGCTTCCGATGTTGTATGTATGTAGGTACCTTGTATGTACGTACTTCCATGTGAATGATAGGTACAAAAAAAGTGGCGGCGATAAGTCGATAAGACGATAAGGCGATAAAACGACACCAATTCGTTATCGATAAATATTTTAGGCCCCACCAAGCGTCGGGTCGCACTTGCCTTCGTGCTGCCTGCGCGTCGTTTTTAATTCACAAACATCTTCACTTCTTCATCGATTCGTGAAGAAATATTTGCTACGACGTTTCCTTCACCCTTCATGTGGCACGTTACTAATGGTAATGTGCTGCATAGCGTAGCGAAAGTGTCTACTAGGCTCTTGAAGCCTCCCCTTAAATACCTAGGCTTCTCGGCTTGTCGATCCTCAACCGTCGCAACACGTTCGGCATCCCCCCAACCTAGACACAACTCACCAGACCAGAACAAAGGAACCCGCATCATGAGTTCAGGAGACTGGGGATACCAATGGGGGTATCCGCCCCCTCTCCCTTATGGGTCTTTTTACCCCCAAACCTATGGGTATGTCCCTATATACCAACAAGGACAAATGCCACTACAAATACCACCACAACCACAACCGCAACCGCAAGAGCATCTTCAACCTCAACTTCAACCTCAACTTCAGCCGCAGCTTCAGCCGCAGGCCCTCACACCATTCACACCATTCACACACATCGCCGACCCGCCTAACGATACTCCTACACCACCCCCCGAAACCGACTCTCCTCCCTACTCACCGCCTTCCTTCATAGGATCTCAGGCATCTCGCTCACAAAGCCCAGCAATCATTAACGGCAATGGCGCAAAGCCGGGCAAACATCCCAAATCAAAGAAATCAAAGAAGGGCAGGGACGATAAAGTCCAGCCATCTGCGGCGTCAGGTGGTGTCCCAGACCCAACTCCAGAGTATCTGAAATTGGCAGCGTATCCGCCCTTCCAGTTACCTCACGCGCGCAAGATCCTTGTGGTTATTGATCTCAACGGAACGCTGCTGTACCGACCTAGCCGACACAACCCTACGGCTTTCGTAGAGCGCCCCCATGCGCGCACCTTCCTGCGCTACTGCATCGATACCTTCAAAGTAGTTATCTGGTCTTCAGCAAAGCCAAACAATGTGACTAGAATGTGCGCGCAACTCCTGACACCCGAGCAGCGTTCACGTGTCGTTGCCGTCTGGGGAAGGGACCATTTTGGTCTAACGCAAGAAGACTATTACCAGCGGGTTCTATGCTATAAGCGTCTGAGTGCACTATGGGCTGACCCCGAAGTTGCAGCTAGCCATCCAGAGTTCGCAGAAGGAAAGCGCTGGAGCCAGGCTGATACGGTCCTGGTGGATGACTCAATCGAGAAAGCGCGTACTGAGCCGTACAATATCATCCAAATACCCGAGTTCAAGGGTGATGCCACCGAACAGGGCTTTATCCTTCCCCAGGTGCATGACTACATCAATGAATGTGCGCGCCAGGCTGACATTAGCACCTATATTCGTAATCAGCCCTTCAAGACGGTTCCGGGTTGGCAGCTTCTCCCTCCTAACCCGGTTGAATGAAGAGGGAAGGAAGGGAAAATAAAGGGAGAGAAGTTAAGCAGAGAACTTTCACTCTATAATCAGAGGCTACCTCCCCATATGAACCTCTTCCGAGTGGGTGGATGGTCAGAAGTTTAGTATCAGAAGCCTTGCAAAAAAAGGCATCATGAGAGGAGAGGAGAAACGAGTGTTACTCTGAGGTCTATATTGCTTTGCTACAAACGCACTGCAACAACTCTTGTTTAATAGATAAACTTTTGATCTCGCACGACGAGTGTCTGCCGTCGCGTTCTTCTGGAAAAAGGATCTTGTCTTGATACCCCTTCTTGCTATGGCTAAATTTTCTATTGCAATGCAGGATAGTGATGGTATCCATCAAATGTAATTCCGAAAATCGTGAAGTTGCTTACCTACCTAGGTTGTTATAAGAATGTGAACTTTTTTATTAAGAATGGCTGTCTTCGTCTCTCCCGGGAAATAACATGGGCAAAGACTAGTCGAACAGTACCTGTCAGTCTTCAAATCCAGAAAACTAACTTAACTGACCAAACAGTTAACTTGTCTAGTAAAATATTGCGTAGGTAACTAGCATATCCAGTGGCTATAACCTAAGATATGATCAGGACCTCTTCTTGGCTACCTTTATTCGCCTATCTAAGTCTATCTGTTCTTGATATCTATGACTAGAGGTTATATAACATCAAGCAATCTACGCTATAGAGTAGGTATACAAGGAGCAATAACGCTAATCTAGACACATCTAGGAGTTTGACGTTACCCAAACACGCTCTTCAACAGCTTAAGCGCTTGTTCATTCGCCGTAAATAATATCCCACCCGCCATAACGGTGCGCCCAAGCCTCATCACAGTCCCACGCCAAAAACCCCTAACGCCGTCTTCGGCGTAAATAGCACGCACACAATCCATCGTGCGCACCGCACGCGCCTGCTGCGCCTTCGTCTTCACCGTATCGAAAGGCTGCGTGGCAAGCGTAGTCAGCGTGCCGGCAAACGCGCCGTTCGCAAAACTAGCGACCGCGCCATCGACCTGGATCCCGTGGCCGCGCTCCCAGTCCTTCAGCGCGGCGTACGAGCCCAGCCGGAACCCAGTCGTGCCGACTTGCTTGAGCGTCGTGGTGGTGTACCCGCTGTACAGGGCACGCACGGGGCCCTGCTCTCGCCACAAGGACGCAATGCAGTGCGCTGGCGACCGGAAGCGCTGCGTCGTCCGGGCGTCGTCTATCAGAGCGGTTTTTATGCGCTCCGAGGGCGTGACGATGGCGGTAGACGCTACGACGCCGGTTAGCATGCCGGACGCGATGGACTGCGCTGTAGTGGACCGGTGCGTCGCTGGGTCTTCGAAGAGAGACCGGATGCTGTCGAAGGCGACGAAGCGCACTGCATCTTTGCCGATGGAGCCCTACATGTTGGATGAGTAAGTTACCTATAGATCAATAGATGGGCATATCTAGGGCGTGTATGTATGCACGTATATGTGTGTGATAAGGAATAGAGAAAGGGTTGATACATGTAAGTCGGAGATATTGCTCCTAGCGAATGTACATCAAAGCATGTGAATGTCTATCTCAAACGAAGAGAAAAAAAAATAGATTCTCCTCAAGTACATCCATATTCCCTCTATCATAAGATATCGTGTAAATCCCATATGTCCACTGCCACTAGCAGAAAGATGTTAGAACAGACGATGACCCGTGGGGTTTAAGCCCCCTATTACAACCGTATACCTGTCGAGCAGGAAACACGAAGCCGTTGAAACAGGCCTCGTTCGACACTTCTATCAAAACCCATCCTTCATAGGTGCGCAGGCAACCCCTGGATTACCGGGAAGTTTCAGTACCAGCATAGCCATCTCCAGTAAGGGGTCGGCAGCTGGTCTTGGAGCAATAAGAGAAAAAGAAAAAAAGGGGGGTGCAACCCTCCCAAACAGGTAGATAAACGCGAGCGGATAGATGGATAGATGGATAGATACTAAGGTAGATAGCTAGACAGAGACAAACATCAGGTACATACCACTATCATAGTCGAACAGCCTTTATACAGCGCGCGCAGGCCCTCCTCCCTCGCCACCTTGGCAACGACCATAAACGGGTTTCTAATGCCCTCATGGCCGTATAGCTGCACGCGGGTCTTTGCGAACTCGAAGGGGTATCTGTGATGATGATGTTAGATTGTTAGGTAGTTCACATGGCGAATTGCCTAGCTTGGATATGCATAAGAGGCACAGTATAGTATAGTACAGTATATGTAGTACGAGGTGATACAATATATGGAGTGGGTAACTAGAGGAAGAAAGAAAAGTACACAAGGATCAATAGTAAAGAAAAAAGGGGGGAGGGAGGGAAAACCCACGTGCAGGCCGACTCGACACCCCCCGCGATGCCGCCGGCGACCAGGGACAAGACCGGGGAGGTCTTGCCGTCCGCATCCGCTACCATCTCTCTTTTTTCTCTTTTTCTTTTTTTTTTCTTTTTCCCGCTCTTCTAGCGCCTACGGCGTGTGAGGTATGTATGTATAAGTGAACAGACAGACAGACAGACGTACCCCTCCCCTCTCTATCTGTGATTTGCGCGCAAGCAATGTGATGATAATGTGATATGTTGATGGCAGACAGATAACTAACTAACGTATTGGAAACCCGCAGCTAGCGGCGGGTCTATAGGTACCTGTCTGCATACATTAGGTAGGTACCTACTAAGGCATTAAACCTAGGCATAGGCGATAGGCGACTTACATACTATGTAGGTATGTACATCTTCCCCGGTCAATAGTCGACCCTTGGCAAGATGCCGAGGATGGATGGATTAGGTACTATGGAGTTCCTATGTAATTGCATGATGATGCAACACGGGCCAATGGCAATTAATCACTAATTCTTCTCCACTGGATTCGCCTTGCTAGGTATGTATGTTAGATACCCAGGTGCATTTACATATTCCTACATGTGCTTTATAACGAATGCATTTCCAACCCATCCAAGCTTTGTTTGTACCAGGTTAGACTTCGGCCCGGGGTCCTACATACATACATGCATACCTGTATGCATCGTGGGGGTCAAGCTTGCGGCGCCTATCTTACAGCGTATTATCGAAAGGATCGGGGACTTCGTCGGGGTTATGATATGCTGACTGGCTGGCGCCAACAGCACTCCGCATCGTGATATTCATTGGATATGTATAAGACAGACAGAATCAAGTACCTACCTAGCCCGAGGAATACGACAGGACAGGTAGACTAACCCTTACCCATACTCGCTTAAGCTTCTATATCGCATCCAACTATTAACCAGCACTGCAAGTTGGTTAAGCCACCTACGCACATTCTGCGTGTTATACGATCATGAATAGTAGGTACCTATATGTAAGGTCGATCCAACGGGGCTATTTGACATGCCGTTTCGGTATTGTACATGTACATGTTAGGCCTGCAATTCCGCTCGAGTGTGGAATGCAGATTTATGTACCGCCGTGTCCAACGTAGCCCATCGGCCCCGAACCGTTCCCGTACAGTACAATAGTTTATACCTACGTCCTTAAAAGTAACCATCTAGGCAACTGGGCAACTATGATATCCAGCCAGGGACCCAACATATATCCATGATAGAACCCTAGTCGCGTCTAAACAGAATGTACTGTGGTCAAATACACTAAGTACCTAACCTAGGCAAGCGGCGAAAGCTTCGCGTATAGGGATAATCCTTCGGTCCTAAGAGACGTGCCGAATACTCCGGCAAGCTCAGCCATATGCAGAGCCGTGTCCAGCGTGATCCCACTCGGCGTTCATATTCTCTAATTGCCCGACGTCGGCCCACACGTCCAATTTCTCGAGTTCGCGCTTGAAAAAGTCTTGCTCGTTTCGCAGCGCCTCTCTAATATCAGCGGCCATCTGGTCCGGGTACCTCCGAACGTTGAACCAGTGCGTCAAGCTCCGGAGGGCTTGTTCGAGCGGCAAGGCTTCTTCAACTTCCGCGTCTACATCGCTACCAGCTAGCCATTCGTCGCGAAGCTCTGGCCGGCAATGCAAATATATCGCTGTGATGACACGCATATTGCCTTGCCGCCATTTACGACCGCAGTACGGCACTTGATTCTTGAAGAGCTTGAGCGTGTACAGTCGTAACTCTGTCTGCGGTACCTTGAGTGATTTCCTTATGATATTTGACGATTTGTACTGTACGAGTAGCAAATTACGGTGCGCTTTGTTTTTGCAGATCTTCTGCATAATTCGCAGATAATTGATGAGGGCAAAGAAATTTCGGCGCGAAAAATCGGTGATAGGCTCCTTGGGCAGGGGGTTTACGGGATAGCCTAATTCGTCTACTTCAGGACGAGTGTGGAGCTGCCCTTCTGTCTTGTTCGCGAGCTCGCTGTTTTCGGCCACTTGTTCGTGCGGCGATCGTCGCCGTTTTATGGGTGGAGGCGCCGCATCGTCCTCGCTTTCCTCTTCTGGCCCGTCGATCTCTGTCGGCTCTTGCGGTACTTTTTCTGGAGGATGAGCACGATCGTTGCAGAATTGAAAGAAACTAAGATTTGTGAGATACGTCGAAATGCGTAGTAGTTCTAGAGCCTTACCTCTGTTCGAGGCGGTCGGTCTTACTATCGACCACCTGTTGAATATCTTGATGTGCGAACAACTTAAGAACCAAAGGAAGATAATTAGAATCCAGTAGTAGTTGAGCCAAGTATTCAAACTTGAGAACATCTAGGCGAGCAATTAGTAAACCAAAGTCGGAACTGATGTGCGTATTACTTACGAGAGATCTTGAGCCATTTCATAAGCAGGAGAATGATACCCGTAGCGGCTTTCGATTCGATCTCTCTACATCTGGTAGCATCCAAATCCTCCAAGGAACTGTCGGAACCGTCTGGGTTGGTCGAGCTGTTGGCTCCCATAGAACTATCCTGCGATCGATTTGTACCAGGACCGCCATTGACGCGAGGCTGGTTACCCCCTGGTATTTGTGACTGTTGCTGGCTATTAGCAGGGAGAGCAATACAAGCAGTAACATTAAATAATATGCTTTTCATCAGAACTATAATCAATGACTGCAGTTGAGGTAGAGCAGCAGCCTATCAACAGTTAGTCAAAATTTCACTAGCAGAAATGTATTATCGCTTACGTAGAACGCTTCGACGGCTTCTAGTCGTCGTTTGACCTTTGGGTCAACATTTGGGTCCGGGCCATAGTCGATCTCGGTGCCTCGCGCTTTCTTCTCTCTCTTCTCAATAGTTTCGAGAAGCTTGTCATCATCAACATCGTCGTCAAGATTAAGACCATCTAGGTCCAAGTCTTCTATGTCATCATCTGAGGGATCCCAACCCCTCTCGAATTTTTGAAACTTCTCGCGCTCTTCCCATAATTGCCTTGTAGCTCGAGTCATGCGCACTCGTTTCGAGAACAACTCGCCAGCCTCGAGAATAGATGCGGGTACATCACTGCCTTCCCATTTCCGGCCAACAAGGAAGTCTTGAAGGCCAGCAGCACCCTTACCTCCTGCGCTATTACTGGTGGCATCCAATGGAGGGTACATGAAAGGGAAATTTTGGTTGGTTTGGTAATTTTGTTTCTTGCCTCCTTTACCACCGGCAGCCGGAGATGGGGGAGGAGACGGCGCAGGCGTCGCAATGTGAACAGGCTGATGGAGGATAGATGCGCCTCCACTCTGCGTCCCAGGAGGAGCGGGAAGTATACCATTCGATCCATTATTCCTAGTAGGGTGATTGGGCAGCGGAGGTAGGAGAGAGGTGTTATCTGCTTCAAGGGGTATTACTGGCTGAGGAGGTACATAGGCAGGGTATTTTGATGTGATCTCTTGTCGAAAAACATGATAGTCTAGAGGTGTCGCTGTAATCAGATCTTTCTCCTTATCGTCTGTGGCCGTTTCCCTAAGGGCCTTTTTCGTTTCTTCAATCTCTGGAGTTCCACCGAACTCCAGAAGAATAGACTTCCATAACAACAAAAGCGTCTAGTTGGTTAGCAAGGTACTCAAGTCACCTTGGAAAGTATCGTACCTGAGGAGCCGGTACAACGTTTACTTCTTGCCATCGCAGCTTGGCTGAAGCTGTGAGCATGAATGTTGTCAAATGAGGCTCTAATTCCACTGCGACTCTTAGTTTAACATCCAAACTTTTTTTTCCAGCAATATCACACTCACGTAGCTTTTCGCGAACCGTTGCCATTCCATCCGGGTCGTTAAGCGTTTCCTGTATACACATATACATAATGGTCATTAAATTCATAAGTTCGTCCTGTGCCTCCGCTAAGCTACTGCCTTGCGGTCTCTGGGGTTCATCTAGCCTGCACAAGTATTAGTATGACAACAGCCACCAGAATCAGTAGACGCAAGATACCATAATATCTCAAACGCGCAGCGCAAAGCCCCCCATATAACGAGAATACCGTCCCACTCTGCAATCAACTGGACACCAGATTTCATTGCGGCAAGCTGGGCGGGTGTTGCAACGCTTCGGGGATTCGTCCTGTCGCCTTGGGGAGAAGCAGCAGTGTCTATCCACCGACCCAGGACGAGATACGTAAGTCTTCCTATTGCAGCACCGCGCATAGCAGCGTCGCTAGCTCTGACCCCGTCCAGTGCCTGGAGGATGAAATTTGTCCTGACATCATCGTCTGCCTCGTCCCAAGTAATTTCGTCCTTTCTGGCTGCTATATCATGTTCCCACTGCCACTCGAAAGCCCGTTGGGCAGCATTCAGCCGAATCCATTGCCAAGGTTGATAGACAAACCACTCGTCAATTTCTTCCTCGTGAGGTCCTGTATCGGAATATTCAAAGTCATACGCGGCGGCTTCAGAACGAGGAAATTCGGAGACTATGCGTCGTAGTTGCGCTAGCGAGAGAGAGTCAGGCGGCTGGTTGCTTGTAGCCTGTACAGGCGGAGTTGACGGGATTTGGTTTCGCTGTAGCTGAGGTCGCACGGGTTGTTGTCTGTTAGGCGTCGCGCTCGTTATTCCAGGTCCAACATCAGCAACCCCTGTATCTGCTACGTCCACCGGTGCCTTTGGTGCATCAGCACCGTCATCGGCAGCTTTTGACGACCACAACGAATTCATTATATCCGAAGACGCGTTGCGGGGCTCAGATGGCGGCTGTCCTTCAAGGGTACATAACCGTGGAATTGCAAGTGGCCATACGCATAATTAAGAGAAGAATTCGTGAAAAGTTGCCAAAGATATACAGAAAGAAGCAAGTATTAAGACAATAGAGCGTCGAAACGTAGAATACTTTCTTGCTTAAAGTAGACCTACTTATGTAGAAAACACGCCGTGAATAGATGAAGTGGGTAGGTTGACGGGTACGTACCTCCTTAAATGTATGTAGGTACCTAATTGATAAAGCTTAAATGACGGGCTGAGGTGGGATTTTTCTAATATGTGGCTTGATTATGCACGCGACGCGCAGAAAGATTGTGGCGCAAGCTTGGGATAGACCTACAGGCAGTTAAGATTAAAACCTAAAATGATAACTACATGTTATGATAATAGGTACATAAGGTACCTGGTAATAACATTGAAGTTCTAGTTAACTTTTATAATATTTTTATTTTATGAACTTCTTAACATATTCCTTAACATACTCCTTAAGGACCTTAACACGCAACTATATTTAATAGTTACCTACCTAACCTAGTTACTCATAAACAAGGTATTGACTTATTTATTCCTCCTCCTCCCTTTTACTATGCTCAGAAGTCACGTCATCCTTCATACCTTGTTTCTTTTCCCTTTCCTTAGCTCTCCGTTTTAGCTTTTTCTGCCTATTCAGTCTCTTTTTCTTGTCCTTCAGGTGCTCTTCCTTCTCTACTGTTTGTTGTTTTGCAGCTTCCTCCTGTTCCTTCTTTGCCTTCTCACGTGTCCTCAGGATTATTCTTCGCTTCTTCCCTGGCCTCTTCTTCTTCCCTTTTACACTAGCAGTTGAATTCCCGCCGATATAACTATCCGGAGTGCTTATTTTGTTATTTGTAACGATCGTAATAGTTGTGACTTTCCATGGCTTCTCAAGTCCCCATCGTCTCCTTTTTGCGTCTTGGAAGAGGTAATCAGCACTAACTGCGGCCATCTTGAATCTATTCGCAGCTTCAGGCGGCATTTCCTCAACCAAGTAGTATGAGATCGGCCGTTTAGCAACTACAAAAGCGCCATCACCATTCCCCTCCACACCGGCATTTTGGGGTTCGAGTACTACCTTCCGCGAGGGTTCCTCGTCCCGAAATAACCTGAATGTGAAGGCCTCTTCTTGGGGCTCCTCAACATCATCCCCATCCTGGGCGTTTTCATTTGCATTTCCTGCTTGAGATTCTGAGATTTGTTGTGTTCTGGTTTCTCCATCTGCTGCAAAGCTGAGATCCAGTAAACCAGAAAACTGCGCATTTAATTTCTCACGCAAAGTTGAATCCCATTGATCGTCCTGCGGCGCCTCCTCATCCGAGGGGGAATCATATAATTCTTCCCGCCGAATTCTTTCGCGTTTACTATTAGCTTCCGAATGAAAACAATGAATAGATGATTCTCATACCGTTTAGCATCAGGAACATCGAACATAATACTAGTAATACGATTGCTAGTCCCAAATATGTAGAATCGAAATAGTGGGCAATACGAAAACTAGTAGTTGTCGATGGAATGTGTTTGCTATGAATTTACACTACCTTGGGTAGCTTCACGTATGTAATAGTCCGGTCGTATGTGCGACCTAAGAGGCAGTTGGAAGAACTGAAAAAAGTGTTGTCGCAAAGCTTAGACCACCATAAAAAGCCTAAATTATCTAAGGTTAGGTACTCAAATAAGCTAGTACAAATATGGACGTATACGGATGAGGGGCCATTTTATTCAGCCACTATCTGCACCGGACTGAACGGATGAGCGCCCGCATGACCAATTCTCGTCCCGACAATCTGGAACGGGCACTAGGTAATCTTAGCCGAGTACATATTACTACGTACTTCAGCCAATTCGTACATAAACTCCAAGCTAGCAACGGCCGTAAGAATTTCGTGTCACCTTGGATTAACTAGTGATACTACACCCGTCTCCCTAATATGTAGAGTACCTACTACAGTAAGTATTTTACATAAGAAGGAAAGTACATGCCAGGGGGTAATTGTCGAAAAAGCATGTAAAAGGTAAATTGTAGAGGTGTAACCAAACGGGCAGGAATAAGCTGCTATTAGGTAAGGTAGGTAGCAACTTGACTTCCCAGCTTTCCCAGCTGCTACCTAGTTTGATTTCTCTTTTTTACTTCTCTTCTACATCATGTTCATCTCTCTATCAAATCGTTTATTCGTAAGTAGAGCCAAGGCAAAATTAACGCCAACAAATCATAGCTTCATATTTCAATTGTTAACACAGTTTTTTGCAAACGACTTTCCACTGGAAGCTTCCTGAGGTTACATCATGGAGTCCCATCTCAGCTTACTTCCTTCACACCTACATTCTATACCCATGAAAAATTGATCACTAAATAATAGTGAAGCAATAGTCCGCACTAAAAAAGACGATAGACACAACGAGCAAATGAAAGGATTTAGCTTAAACGAACAGACATATTGTGCCTTAGTATAATACAATACAAGACCTAGCGGCTGAAAGCTGAAAACCAGGTCCCACAAACCATCCAACGCTCTGACGCTATATAGATCGTGAGTTTCGCACTTTTACTAGAGTACAGGTATCGGTAATCCTATATTTTTTGGGGGTAGCCTTCTAAAAGCAATTCTCGAATACAGCAGATGATTGAATCCATCCCTCATGCAGAATTCATTCATTTTTGCGCGCTTCTGCAGCTTGGACTGCGACCACTGCGTCTAGAGACCTCACGTCCGGGTGTTTTTAGACAGAACACTCTCTTCTTAGCCAGACCATGCTACCGTGCCAGGCGGGGAAACAGAACTGGCGTTTGAGATGAATATCGACATTATTCAGAATTAGCGCTTTCCCTTCCGCCGCTCAATTTACGGGAACGGACATCGCAAACGGCGATGACAACAAATTATAGGTACCACTCTAGCAACCCCACCTATCATATCACATGAATCCTGATCGCTGGAGAGATAACACTGTGGCCGCCCTGATCGCTTGCGCCAATTTGTATAAGACGTAACGTCGATGATATTGCATAGTATGGTATGGTACGTATGATACGAACGAGGGGGGGATATCGAATAGTAAATGACGATTTCCAACTCAAAATAACGACAACAATACGAGAAACAGGAAACCAACTCCGGATATTTCAATACCGACCCGTCTCTGTAAGCGTTGGCGTGTATGCTATACCTCCAAACAGGATGGCCGAGAGGGTCGCGCTCGCTATTAGCGAAAGACACGAATGAGCATCGATATAAGAGAAAACCACCAAGATACACAACCACCGCAGCAATGGTGCCTCTTCTCAGCACAGGTACACGGAGACCATGAATTCCACCCTCTCCTCTTTACTCCGTCACTCCGAACATTGCCTCTCCAGTAGCCCTATACAAGTCCTCCGTAGGGGATACGGAATTTCGAAAATAGCTTTTGGCCCTTTTTCTTCCACCATGGGCTTCGAGTAAGAAACAAAATCAAGCTTCCATTAAAATACTATACAGGCGACATGCAATACAAGCCGCGCTTTTTATGGCAACGAGAGCAGTCGACCCCTTCTCTCATTCGCACACGCGCATTCCCTTAATGCACGCATAGTGTGGTCGAATAACCGACTCACAATGGAGAAACGAGAAATACGTCCAGTAAAGTCTAATCGTTTTCCTCATTTTATTATGTTTAAGCACCAACTCTTACGTCGGGCTCCAAGAATAATGGTTCAAAGTTGAGGCGTAGCTCCCAGGCGCCGGCGGGTGATCGCTTTTGCTCGGAAATGCGTACGGCCTACTGCTTTCGTTGCCCGTCGCGGCGCTATTGTGGTATGAGTGGACAGTGGCGCTGCTGGGTTCTCCTGCAGTCGTCGTCCATGATGTTGTAGGTGGATAATAATCACGAGGCGGCGGCTGTTGCGATTGGGGTTGTTGATGGTGAGAGTGACCGCCTGCCGACGAAGGAGCACTGGAGGCAGGCCCGGTTGGCCCAGCACTGCTCGCGCTGTCAGCGTTGTATGTAGACGCTGAGTTTAGCTCGCTGGAGCTGCTGTTTACGGGTACGTACCCTGAAGGCCCGTACCGGTACTCAGATGTGTCATTGCTATTGCTTATGGAGCTGGTGCTGGGTACGGACTGGTGGCTACCGTGACGCGGGCTCTTAGTTGGCCTCGGGTTTGAGTCGACATACCGCGGTACGCTAAGATTGCCGTGATCAGAGCTGCTACCCATCGACGTTGTTGTTACCGAGAGCTGAGGCGGAGCCGATGTTCCCTGTACGTAGGCGTATTGCGTCCGGATCGCTGGCGGCTGCTGCTCTGTTGCGGCCAGAGAAAGTTGCATCGATGGCATGGACGTTTGCATGGGCATCTCTTGTGGCTCCTGTGTGAAATTCGACGATCCTGAGAGTGGCATTTTCTGGTACGAATCGGCAGGTATACTCGCTGGCGGGTAACTGGCAGTAGCCGAAGCCGGCATTCCGGACATGGGCAACTGGCTAGGAGGGTTCCAACTAGGGTACGAACTAGAATCTCTCGTCAGCTCTAATCCCCAAGGCGAGAAAGTCAACGGAAAGGTCCCTATCTACTCGTCTTATTCATCTCAAGTCACTGTAACTTGGTCCGCCAAAGTAGGATGTAAGTCCTTTGGGAATGAGATAAAGGTAGGACTTACTTGGACCTCATCGTCATCGGGCTCCCAGGGAGCTTTGACGCGTTGAAAGTAAATGCCGTCCGCGGTAATTCCAGATTCAAGCCACGCAATTTTGGATCCTGGGGCTTTACGGTTAAGGGGCCTGCAACAATGCCTAGTCCTGTTTCAACCAATGCTTGCCCCCGCGAGCCGGCACTGGATCCCAGGAGAGGGATTTCCTTCCGAGCTTGAAAGTTCCGCGGACTTCGCCCCCGAACTACGATCGGTGCCGTTGTAGATTCTGTTAGAACCACCTTCGACCCGTTTGCTAACGTTCCTACCACCTTTAGGTGTAGCACAAAATGCTGTTGAAGTTCTTTCCGCCTTCCATTATTTGCCGTTGCTCTATGGAATCTGCGTCAGCTTATTGAACCAAGGACTGAACTTTATAGCGGGACGATTGAGGCCCCTGGATCAGATAACCTACATTCTGAACTGCAGCCGCCGCCACCCAATAGGGTATACAGCGTATTCGCCCTCCGCTTCTTGTCCATCATCCGGGAACGGGATTAGTGGTAACGATGGGGGTTCCTGATCCGGGGTCTGGGGTAGTTCCGGAGAATTCGGAGGTGGCGTCTTCCAAGGAATGACGATTAGCCTCACGGGATGGCCATCGACGGACTCGATGGCGGAGATGGTGACTTCGGTGTTATTCACGGGAACAGTTTCGCCCGTCTCGGGGAGAATCACTGAGAGCTGGCCTCGCGGTGTGATGAGCGAGCCACTGATCTGAAACAGGTTCCTCCGGTAGCACGTTAGCTCAGGTTGCAGAATCGCGCCGTCGCTCGTACTTGAAGGCATTTCCGAGAGAAAGAACATGCCGTGGAGCTGCGCAGTAAGCTCAAGCTGCTGCATTCGCCCATGCTGATCGACTATAGTGTGCTTATCCTGGACTCTCCGGAAAGAAAGCAACTTATGATCGTGATTTACAGTGAGCTTCGATCCGTCGTCTCTCAAGTCCTGCACAATCTCCTGGTACGGCGGGTGCTCACCAGGCTGGTGAGGCCTCTTTAGGTTAGGGAAGCTGTGGTGTTGTGTTAGAGAAGGCTGCGGGTATCTGTCAAATCCATCCGACTCCTCCTGCGGGTATCTAGGGTACGGGTAAGGGTGATCGATAGTCGGGTGACTGCTTCGTGGCCGGCCCGGATGTTGCGAAGATGTCGTCGACGGGTGCGAAAGATTCGACTCCATGGTATTAGGGAATCGAGCTGATAAGGACACCGGACCGCCATAGTTCGACCAAAGACTACTATGCGCTGGCTCCGGCTTCAACTCTGCCATGGTCGCCGTCAAAGTCGTTGTGGCTGACATGGGAGCCTATGTCCCAGTCGCGCTTCCAAGACCTGTCCTCGTGCGCCACCGGCTGACAAATTTCTACTTTCTCTTCCTTTTCAATTTTATTCCCCCTCTAGACGACGAGACGTTTTACTCAGGACATCAGCCTCGCAGCAATAATGGCTCACTGGTGTTCAAACTAGTTGTCTTGCCAAGTCCAAGTTCCTGTCGAAAGACAACACCTTGATGGGAAGTGGCTGACTTTCCTTGCACAGGTAGGTGAAGTCAGAATAAAGTGAACGTTGAAAGAAGGTAAGGTTGCAGGCCGAAGTGTACTTGTAGGAACGAGATACAGTAGGATAGATGTTGCCTCTGAGGGGACTGTTTTGTACAGAGGACGGTATTATCCATTACCCTGGGGGGCATGTTTAACGGTTAACGGGTCCCTAGCCAAGCGGAGATGGCCCAGCCCAGTCAATGAGAGAGCGAGAAACGACTTGGAGGTCTGGTACAGAGACCTTTAGTACCTACAACTGACATGGGTTTAGAGTACAGTGCATGCAGCCCGACTGGGAAGGAGAACGGAGCTAATGGCGATCTGGCTGGGGGAAGATACAGGGCTCTCAGTTCTAGCCGGGACTTGATTGATAGGCCCTGAACAATATCTACAATA